GGGCCTGGTCGGGTCATGTCGGGCCGGGTCCGGTCCGGTCGGGCCGGGTTGTGTCTGGTTGGGCCGGTTTGGGTCGGGTCCGATCCGTTCACACCGGGTTGGGTCTGGTTGGGTCGGGTGCGGTCGGGCCGGGTTGGGTCCGGTCGAGCCGAGTTGGATCCGGTCGGGCCGGGTTCGGTCGCATCGGTTTGAGGTCGATCCATTCGAGCCTGGTGGGGTCCGGTTGGGCCGGATTGTGTCCGGTCGGGCAGTGATGTGTCCGATTGGGGCGGGTACGGTCGCGTCGGGATGGGCTCGGTCGCGTCGGCTGGGTTCGGTCTAGTCGGGCCGGATTCGGTCCATTTGGGCAGGGTTCGGTCCATTCGCACTGGGTTCGGTCTCGTCATCTCAGCTCTCGATGATTCCTTTCTAATGACCAGTCCACTAGCTGGCAATACAATCCCAAAATGACAAAGAGCTGAACACCAGATTCGTCGCTTCTTCAAAACATTAAAAAAAGTATTCGGATATACTAATACCATGTTTTCGGAATCACCGAATCCTTTGATCCAATATTGCAGCATCCCCTAAATATGTCTTGAACGTTGAGTTTCCATATACGTACGTACTTACATATACGTATGTTTACATTTTTACTAGCACAACGCTAGGCTTTTTTTAAACTTCGTTCACGCATCAGATCGCTCGGTTCTAGTCCTTTACGTTCAGATTTATACATTTCGTAAGAATTATGCACTGCATAACGTGAAAGAAATGATCTAGTCGACGCTTTCCGTACTTCCGTAAATTGCTCCAATTTCAAACATTCAACTACGTCCATTAGGCCAGCACTTTATATTGCACATAGATATGAAAGTATATTTCAGAAACCATTAGAAACTTGCGAAATACTCTACGATATTTTCGAGATAAAATCTATAAAAAAATCGTGTACGGTTAATTTCGGTTGAAAAGTTTTCCTTGTTCAGTATCCCACGTCCTCGCACGTGTTCAGGATTCATCAGAGGAGACGTGAGACTCGCTAGAGCGCAATCGATACTCTGAGCAGCCAGTCCATATGTTGGAGCAAAGCTACCCCGTCCGTCGCGTCGCCCACACCGCCGCCCACGCAAGCGCCCATGCCCCCCCCCCCCACGGCCGGCGGCGCCGTAGACCCGGGGAAGTCCTGCCGCGCCGGACGCCCTCGCTCCGAACGCTATCTCGCGCGTCTATTGTCATCGAAAGATGCATTCTCAATTGTTTTACGTGAATTAAAAAAGTAGCAACGCTGCTGTAAACAATGGTTCAAAGTTGTCATCAGATTTGCGAGGATGGGTACCTGTTGGCCTAGTTGATGCCATTTCTGCGAAAATCGAAAATCGCTCTTGGTTTTTACACTATTGAAGTTATATATTAGGCATATTAAGCTTCAAAAGTAGGGATGTGCGATTGAGTGCACAAAGATATAGATCTTTCGAATCTATTTGGTTCTTTATGGTTTTTTCAGGAATTCATTCTTTAAGCTTGGAATCGTATCGTTCATAAAAGCGTCTTACATATAATTTGCATTCGTACAGCACTTGCTGTTTTTGAGTTCCTAGTCATCCAAACAGTGGAAAATAAATAACCAGTGAAAATCTAAACCTGTGACAATAGTAATATTAGTTCTAATCAATGTTTAATTTATTAAAAAAATGAGCGCTTACATATAGGTCTACTAATCGTATCATTCCACATAGAGATGAGGCATTTTAAAACACGCAAAATGTCTTTATATTTTGATATTGTAAAATAAAATATTACAACCGAACATGTTTTTATTTATTCATTTTTGTAAAAAAAACAAATATTTTTTTATTCTTAAAAATAATTTTTGTTTAATTTTTTTCAAAAATTTAATGAATTGATTATTGGAGAACTTTTTTTAAGTCCATTTTTCAGGAAATAAGTGTTCCAAGATCCATTGAAGAATTGATTTTTAACGATCTGCGCACATCCCTAATGAAAGGCTTCAGAAACACCACCATACCGTAGAATGCTCTATCCACATTAATATACTACAAATGTATTGTTACGCGATAAAGAAAGCAACAACATCTGACGTTTTAAACGCCATGCTCACGTTAATGCTGACGGCATTATGAAACGGTGAGTGCCGCGCAATCAAATGCTTAGCGCGACACTTTCGCTCTCCCCCAGGGCCATCGTCAAGGGAAGTTCCTTCGCCTTAACGCCCAGCTGGCGGCCTCTGCTAACACTTCAAATACTTTGTCACCAAAGGACGCTTGATTTTCCTTGGCTGGAAGGTGTACCTGTATGCTTACAATACCACAAACCGAAAATATCACAAACTTACATCGTAACGCAGTTAACATTCAGAAGTTCGAAGGTAATTTGGAATCACCTTGTACGAGTTGTCAGAGCTGAGCGACTCTGAAAACCTTTAACAACAACAACAACAATAATAATAATAATAATAATAATAATAATAATAATAATAATAATAATAATGCCTTTATTAATGGCAAGGCTCAGGCCATAAGGCCTGCCCTTCCGCCTATCCACAAATGTGTGGTTAAATGTGGGTATGGCCGATACAGACCAACTGAATCGATTTTTTTTAATACATCAGAGTCCGATATTTGTGTAATCGGCCATGCGTCGTTCAAATCTTTCTAAAATTCCTACTTATTATTAAAAATTCATATAAATAAAACATAAATTTGCAAACAACACAAGTACTCATACGACAGCTTTCGCTATACATCATTCATTTGTTTGGTTTGGTTTCGATTCGATTGTTTTTTCTGGTTGGAAGCGGTCGCGTCAGTATTCTCTGCAATCCCTCAAGCGAGGTTTTTCTTTACTATCTGATTCCGTCGGTTGCAGAATTATGAAAAGTGCCGTAGCACTGGAAACGGGTCAGGTGCCCCACCGTCGAGGGAGGCTGGATTATAGGAAATTGTTAATTCGCCAACGCTATATGTTCCCTCAACGTTACGAT